ACTCTTAAACTTAAAGGCAGAGGAATGCAAAGCTTGCGATATCATCTGGCACTTTCATTGTGTACGTACATGGACACCAATGCTCCGATTTATGATTAGGACACTACTCTGATTAAGTTTCTAGAACAGGGGTTCCCAAACTTTTCAGCCCGCGACCCCCAAAATGACAATGCTAGTGACTCGTGACCCCCAATATTCTCTGAGGTGGTGGTTATAAATACAGAAACCTTGTATGCAATGACGCACACACACACCAATAGACCCAAGTCTATTCATTGTTTTTTTTATGTATGTCAGTGCTGTAAATGGGCTAGAAAGTTTAACCTGGTGTTATAAAATCAATCTGCTGCATCTGACAGTATTGCTGTGTCTTTATTATAATGTAATAATGTATATAATGAAGTTGCAATCCAATAGAACTAGTAATAAGCTACTATAGTAACTATATAGTTTATAGTAACTATTAACGACAATTTTTTTCTCTTTAGTAGGTTATTGATAAAATACAGTAAGTCTTAAGGTTTAATAAAAATTAATTGATTTTTGAAAATCACCAGGCGACCCCCCTTCATTGTCCCGCGACCCCTCGGGGGGTCCCGACCCCCACTTTGAGAACCTCTGTTCTAGACTACCATGTAAACAGTGATTTTTGATTACCTTAAAGGACCACAGACACCTGTGTCGCAAAATGCAGACTGTTTTTCTTTCCATTCAGCGTGCGGTATCAAATTCCATTAAAAGAGCACTCTTCCAGCAGTCCTTACTTAATGCTCACATTCAAAAAGTCGAAAAACTAAGAATAAAACACCTGAAATTACATGAAACTCTGGAGGAAACATGGTTAGCGTGGTGACCCAATGACGTTAATTGATCTATGTACTATAACATGTAAGACGGAATCATGAAAGGAACATTCAAAAAGCAACTCATGTAAACCCCTTCATCATATCATTGTCTTATTCAGGTTTAGGCAAATCATTAGATTACTGATAACTATGTAAACATAGCAACCCTAGAAAAAAGGAGTTCAGTATTTTGATGAAAGCCTTTCCACAGGTTAATAGTAAGCTAATGTAATTACATAATGCAAATCCTAAATTCAAGCTAACCAACAAATGATCAAAGGAAATATATTAATGTAATTTAAATATATAAAATATGAATTGATGTTTACTTTAAACTTTAATTATATTGTTCCATTAAAATGATTTTTTAAAAGATTTTTTCAAATAAAAGATTTTTCTAGAGTCATCCACCATCATTTTGTTGCTGAAAAGTATCAGTTCAGGCACCATTTTGGCACCGGTAGTGTTTTAAAAACATCAATTTATCACCGGTATCGAAATAACCCCAAAAGATACCCAACCCTATCTTTGGCCCACATGCTGTATGGCAGATGAATGCCTGCTGTGCCAGATGTTTGCCAGATCTACACCAGAATTCTTTGCTACCTGTGTAATACTTATACCAATACAAATAATATGGAAGTTGATGGCTGTTTTCCCCCATCATTCTTCAGTGAGTCTTACAAAAGAAACTCAAACCATTTTGAAACATAGACGATAAGTAAAAAATAATGACAGAATTTTCTTTTATTTGAGTGAACTGTCCCTTTAAGGACGTTCAAACAGCTGCTTTCCCCAGTCAAAGTGAAATATAGTGGCAAGGCTGTGCACTTGGTTAATTGCACCTTTCGGGGTCATAATAATGCCATTTCTAAAGTGCCCGTTTATCAAGAAGTGTTGATCTCTCGCTGACCGACTCATTTTCTGCCTCATTGAGCGTGTGCATGCATTGGCCAGTAAGTCTTTCAGCAGCTGACAGCACAAACAAAGAGACACACTTTCCTTTCCTCATTAGCCTCAAATACAGGGCTTATCTTTGAACAATGTGCATCTTATTTTAGAATTGCAGAAACAAATGTATTAAAGAACTGGACTTGATAGCCGTGTTTAAATGACAACAGTTTAAACAAAAATTAAGATATTTGTTAAGCTTAATATCTTGCGAAACAACAACAACAAACTCTAAAAAAGCGCGAAAGGTGAAAAGGGTATTTCCCTTTTGCCTGGGTGATTTCTTGGCAGGGGAATCTCACACGAACTGCCCTGTCAGCGCTCTTCTCACAGGACCACCCAAACCAAACAGATCTATTTGTGTAGAGGATGAGACATCGATCCGACTGTATGAACCTGATCAGCCGAACATAATAATCTGTGTTCAAGCAGTCAATGATCTTGAACATGATTGATTATTAAATGGATTCAAAAGTAGATTTAGGTTAAATCTATTTGCAATTTAGTCAGAGAAGAGTGAAGAGCTATAAATATAGAGTTGAAGATAAACGTATAAACCCTCTCATGAAATTTTATTTGCTTTTTAAATATATCCCATTTAACAGTTGTATTTAAAACATTTTTAATCATATTTTTAACATAACTTTGCCATGATGACAGTGATATTTTACTAGTTATTTTGCAAGATACCAGTTTTCAGCTTAGAAAATTCATTAGATAACAGTGGTTTGAATGGAAATTAACAATATTGACACCATTATAAAAATGTTATATATGATATATAGAGAAAGTCTTATTTGTTTTGTTTCGGCTTGAGTAAAAGCAGTTTTTAATTTTTTTTAAAATACCATTTAAAGGTCAATATTTTTAGCCCCTTAAAGCTATATATTTTTTGATAGTCTACAGAACAAACCACCGTTATACAACAACTTACCTAATTACCCTAACCTGCCTAGTTAACCTAATTAATCTAGTCAAGCCTTTAAATGTCACTTTGAGCTGTATAGAAGTGTCTTAAAGAATATCTTGTAAAATATTATTTACAGTCATCATGATAAAGATAAAATAAATCAGTTATTAGAAATGAGTTATTAAATCTATTATGTTTAGAAATGTGTTGAAGAAATTTTCTCTACGTTAAACAGAAATTGGACCAGGGAGGCTAATAATTCTGACTTCAACTGTATATATATGAGCAATATCACACTCGTAGCATGTGATGTGTCTGTACATCGGCACCGGTGGGAGACGTGCGTTGTGTCCCACCAGTGATGATATATAGCCACACTGCACTGCTATGAGTGTGATATTGCGTTTATACAACAGTTTGACGGCATAATTGTGTATATAAAAAAGAAAATCCAACACGGAGAGTCTCAAAACCCTTTTGTAAGAGGAACTACTTTCTTCCGCCATTCATTCACATCTACAGCTGACTTCAAAACAGCAGCAACTGTTGCTACAGTACTTCACAAATGTCCCTTTAGTGCTAGTGTTTGAACGATTTTCTAGCGTAATGTCTAAAGTTATGACAGAACGGGTGATTTTGCTTAGATTTCAAGATTATAAGGCTGAATGACATGAAATGCCTTCAGTCTACAAAGATTTCCCATTATTCTTCTGTTGCAATCGGTAGATCACAATAATTATCCATGAAAAAGCCAAAGCAGCACAAACACTATCAGATTACTGTTTGTTAGCGATAAGGAAAAGTTAGCGTTTAAGTTACGTATATATATATATATATATATATATATATATATATATATATATATATATATATATATATCAGTGATGGGTTGTGACTGGAAGGGCATCTGTTGCATAAAACATATGCTGGATAAGTTGGCGGTTCATTCCACTGCGGCGACCCCAGATTAATAAAGGGACTAAGCTGAAAATGAATGAATGAATATATAGGAAGTGCTTTGTATACTAATGTATAATAAATATTTCAATTAATTTTTAATTAATTAATTAATTAATTTAATTAATTTTTTTTTTTTTGGCATCTGTGGTTCATGTTTCATCCATGGAAACCTATGTCACAAAAGGCTATTGATGAAGGGGAAATTATTTTCTAAATGTTCTCCAAACTATGAATAATGGTTATTTTAAGATACATTCTCTGAAATGTTTGTTGAAAAATCCCAAATGATTCTACAACCGCTTGAAAAATTGAAATCTTTATGTATTCACTGGTTATTTAATAAATAAACAGTTAAATACACTTTTAGCTTTACTGAATCACTATTTGAGTTCATATTTAAGGAGACTGCATTGTGTTTAATTGGCAGTTGCACACACTATCTTTACAAAACAACAATAGTCACTTTATCGGGTATTGATCCATTATTCTGGTAAAAGTGGAAAGCAGAAAATAACATTATACATTATCTCTTTTGAAAAAAAAATACAGTGTATACTAAAATAATACATTTAAGTACAAGCTGAATGTAGACAATTAAATGAATGTTTACCATTAAATGAAAATGTATATGCTATTTTACATTTATTTTAAATGCAATCAGCTGAATGTTGTTGTTGTTGTTAATGATGATGTTGTTATCATTCAACAGGTCTTAATTTAATTTTTATGCATCATTTGACGACTACTTACAGTAAAATGTCTTTGAAATATAAACTTTAAAAGAATGCTGGGTAATCATAACTCATGATGTTGGGTCAAAATATAATTATTTTTTTTCAGTTAAATTTAAATGACACCCAACAATTGAATTTAATAAAATTAATAATAATAATAATACGTTTTAATTAAACAGCCTTTTAAAAAATGCAAGATCACTGTACAGCATATATACACACATAGTTTGTCCATAATTGTGCCAACGCTGAGTTACAACAGCCCAGCATTTCTTAAAGTGTAGTTAAAATCTACATCTGAATGTACAAACAAGCATTTCTGTTCAATGTTAACAAGTTGTTGTCATTTCTATAGAAACCTGAATGCAATATAATAGCACAATAAGTTGCAACTTGGAACCTTAAAATAAATGAACTGCAAATCCAAATAAAAAATATAATGAAATATTTAGTATTTTAGCAAGCATCAAAATGAAAAAGAAATATTCTCTTAAACACAAGATCATTTAAACATGTTTTAACATGAATTTTACTGTAAAAACCTTTGTTTGACATCATTGCAAAGTGCATGTTGTGAAAGTGTATGTTGTTTTGACTCACCAGAGCTCTGGCTCCCATCAAAACACAGCACAGCACTAAAGCCACAGAGACCTCCACTGACACCATGCTTAACCCAAGACCTTTGACCTTTTCCAGAACTCCTGCTCTCCAGAGAGCTCCTGTTTCTCTTCAGGACATGGCAGTCGCGTCGATGTGGAGAGAAGCGCAGACGTTTGCAGCCATTACTTCTTCATTGTGTTAAAGATGTTGTTTCTTTCTGATGCTGCCGTGTCAAGCGGACACACATCTGTTGAAGTCCGACCCGTTGTTTGTTTTTGTTGAGATTTTAACTTCTGGAATACCTGAAATACATGCAGTTACAGAGATTTAAAAAAAAAAAAAAAATATATATATATATATATATATATATATATATATATATATATATATATATATATATTTCCTTTAATCTTACTAAAGCAAAAAAAAAAAAACATGGACGACAACTGAATGCTCTTTACCATCACAGATGATTTTCTTCCATTCATCAGATTTTTTTTTGTATTAACTCAGATCCTTGATTAAAGAAGAGATTTGTCAGTCCAATTGTAGATGTTTTAAAGAGAGACTTGTGGAGATGTGTCCAGAGATGTGATCTCCTGTGAGGTTAGTGGTGTAACGGTGGCCCTCGGCTCTGGGGCTCCACCACTGTTTATCATGTGGGACGGGCACGAAAGACGTTAACCCTTTACTGTCATGAGAGAAAGGAAACCTGCTCTCTACTTGTTTACATTGTTTATATTATTCCAAGCCAATTCTTGAACACAGACATGTTTATTAATTAATGGTTCTGGGAAAACTACTTAATGATTGATCTGTCAGTACAAATGTTTATGAACTGTATCGTTGATTCAGCCTTTATATTTATTGAATTCAATTTTGTCAAATTAAATGACAAAAAGTCACATATCGGTATCCATCTGTCTGTCTGTCTGTCTGTCTGTCTGTCTGTCTGTCTGTCTGTCTGTCTGTCTGTCCATCTATCTATCTACATTGTAAAAAAAATCTGTAATTTTACGGTTTATTTCCGGCAGCTGGGGTAAACGTAAAATAACAGCTGTTAAATTACAGAAATTTACCATAAAATAACGGACATTAAATTACAGAAATTTCCTTATATGTAAATTTCTGGTAAATTTCTGTAATTGAACCTCTGTTATTTGACAGTAAATTTCTGTAATTTAATGGCCATTTTTTACGTGGGGAGGTTGTCAGTCAGTCAGTCTGTCTGTCTGTCTGTCTGTCTATCTAGCCACATGAAAAAGACTATAGTAATATATATTAGATACAGTGAACCATATGAATTAATCTAATGACGTAATTTTATAGTTTTATACAATTTGAAGCTCTAGGTAATATAACAGTCATCCTGCTGAAAAAAAAAACAGCATAAGCCAGCCTAGGCTGGTTGGCTGGATTTAGCTGACTAACAGTCAAGGCTGGTTGTCTGGTTTTAGCTGGTTGACCAGCCTGTTTTTTAAGGGGTTTCTAGTCATTTCCAGCCTGGTTTTAGCTGGTCATGCTAGGAAATGACCAGCTAAAACCAGCTTGGCCAGCCTGGTTTAAGCTGAACATAGCTGGTTTTGATTAGACTGCCAGCCTGGCTAGGCTGGTCAAGCTGGTTTTACCTGGTAATTTCTCAGCCTGACCAGCTAAGACCAGGCGGGAAATGGCTGAAACCCCTCTAAAACTAGCCAACCAGCCTAGGCTAGTTTTTCAGTAGGGATAGCATTATAAACAAATTACCAAATACTATAGAATATAAATAACCATATGATAAATTATTCTACAATACAACATAACTGTAGTAAAACTTACTATTCTACACTGTATACTATACTGTATACTACAGTATTTAGTAAAGTTTTTAAGTTCACTATAGCAAAGTGTTGTAAATGCTATAAAATTTAAAGTAGCCTATTATATCCCACATGTCAAAAACACAAAGTTAGTGTATTTACAGTAAATTACTATAATATTTTGTCATGTGGGTGTGTGTCTGTCTGTATATTCAATTAATAATCTATCACTAGTGAAGCCTAGGAACTAAGACATGCTAACAAATCATGTTACAACATGCTAACGTTGCCAGAAACATGCTAACATTGCTAGAAACATATTAAAGTGCTTACCATTTTACAGGTTAGAAGAAGCATGCTAACTTATGCTAGCAAATTACTAACACAGATAGGACATGTACATCTGTTAGCTATTTTAAAGAGTATTTTGCCTGGATATAATTTGTTGTAAATGGTTTTAATGGTCTGTTTTACAAACATTCTTAATTGTAAACAGCCTAAAGACATTGTAAATGTCTATTTAACCTCAGTTGAGAGACATGTTTTGACAGATAATGTAAACAAACAAAATCAACATCTCTGGTATGTGCATAGTATCAGGGTAATTTATGGAAGCAACATGAAACATGTGCTAGCATTGTGAAACATTACTATTGGAGAGTAGGGTAAGACGAGCCAGTGGGTAAAGTGACCCACCTCCTGTATCTAGGCAACTGTGTACTTGTATTGTCATGTGACCAAACATTTTGCACCCACATACCATATCTGCCAGACCATGAACAGGAGAAGAACATTGTAGAAGGGGTTAGCATCGTTTTAAAAACTGTTTTTGGCTTGTCAAAGTGAAATTTTAGCATGTCAGAAGTAGCTGAGCTACATCTAAACAAATACATCAAGGCCTAAAAATATTCATGATGCTTGTTGGTGGGGTACCAGTGTTTACAACCATGACTTACACTTAGTATTTGACTTGAGCTCATTTTTAGGGAATCCAGCCAGTAAGCCCTCAAACCCTGCTGTATTTGTTAGGATTTTTTTTCAGCCGTAACGTGGAACAAGCAAACCAAATTATAAGGCATAGATTGATACTTGGTCAGATGGTCGACTCATCCCAATCAGCGCATAGGTGGTTTTATAGCACCAAAACACATAATTTCAGACATTTATAGCTGTAGTTCATATAAAGTTTGTCATACTGTAGATTAAAAAATGTTACATTGTTGTGTTCTTTGGGTCATTCGAAAAACAAAAGTGTACATGCACAGATTTTTTCTATGACGCCCCATTTTTCTACTTAATCAAGCTATGTCTGAAATCTCCTTTAGCAAATGAGTTCTAGGCTTTTTGCAGGATCAGAACCAAACCAGTGCCGAACTATTCTCTGGACACTAAATATCAATTATTATTGAATTTTTTCAAATAATAATTACAATAATTTAGATTTTCGCATGAAACAGTAGGCCTACACAAAAATTTACATGCTAACTTTAGCCAAAAGCTAACTTTTGCTACTGTATAACTTTTGAACGAAATAAATTATCATCACCAAACGTGATACACATGGTACAAACCTGTGGGCTTTGGCCACATGGTGGCGCAATAAAGTTTATAAAAACATGAAAATGCCAATTAAACAGGGTTAGCCATAGCCGGTTGGAAAACAAAACTTAGTGTTTTGTAGGCATGTATGATGCATGCTCTTAGAGGTCTGTAAGAATTTAAAAAGATAATTGTCTTTTTTTTCTTTTTTTTATATTGTATTTATTTTGATGTCAATTTAATGTTATGTCATTGCCATTGTATGTTAATAAGTAAAAAGAAAAAAATATTTTAAAAGAAAATGGCCACTTGGGGGGTGATTTTATGTGTTTTAGTGTTTAATCGGCTGTGTATTAAATAATGTTTAGGCACACAAAGGCACACAAAAACATATCATATGATAGGCCTGCTTTTCCCAGTTTTTTATTAATTGCCACAATTGGAGTGTCTTCAAATCCCTCTTCGTCTGATTGGCTAGAGCAGCAACTGCCAATCGAATAGTGGACTAACAATGACTCTGACGCCCACCTGTGATTTAAATGAAACTCAAATTTCATATTTTGGAAACACAAACACATAATGAGGGAACAAGGGTGAAGGGGAAAAGATTGTATAAAGTACACAACACATTGGTATGAGTGGAAAAACTGATTTTGTTTGCAATTAGAAAAACTTTAATTTCAGGTTTCAGTTTTGTGCAATGTAATTCTAAATGCATTTTAATTTTTTGACTGATGCTCATTATCTTTCTGTACGCAACAAAGTTGTTTCTTATTCTGCATTTAATTTTTACTTTTGTTTGTTAAAATTTTACAAACAATGTAAATTTATGATTTACTCTTATTTTATTTAATTTTTTAATCTGCCGCCATGATACATTTGGCAGGATTTTGATCCCTTGATATATAAGTGTAAACAAGCATGCAGATTTAGTGGAGATCGGACAATGGGTAGTGCTATAACAGCTACAATGTCTTAGAAACATGCTAAACGAAAAAATGGCAGTAAATGTACTAAATTCACACACTTTTCACAAATACACAAATACAACACATTATGTGATAGACCTGTTTATACTGAACACTTTGACATTAAAATACCACCGCTACTCAAACTCTTCTTTTAAGATTTTTCAATATGTGCAAAACCTACTTTTGCAAACTAATCCCTGTTGTTTTGGTCAATCGCCATGAAACCAGAGTTCTAAGAATCTTTGGACTGCCCAAATCAATAATTATTGAAACAAAGTTGAACTTTCCACTTTGGATAGCTCATTTTCATAAGGAGCGTGTCTTTATGAACTTACATGCTTGTAAACAGATAAGGAAAACTCAATCGTCATGCAAGCTGTTGTGCTTATCTGTCATATGATTGTAAACAAGCATGGAAAAACTTATGTTTTGCTAAAACAGTAGAAAAGGTCTCAAAAATAGTTGTTTCAGTGTGTTATGCTTAATTTAGTGTTTCAGATACCATTTTAGCCACTAGATGACAGCATAAGACCACTTATTAGTTCTGTCTGCTTTTCAATGCAAAATTAAACAAAACTGCGAATTTTTTTTAATTTTTATTTTAGACAGCTTTTCACAGATACACTTGATCTACATATCATATTTGCTCTTTCTGGCCAGATTTTCTCAAAGACATCTGCTGTCAATCAAACAGTTTGTTAAATATTTGATATAATACTAATATAGTAAATACTAAAATGTGTTTTTTTTGTTGTTGTTTGTTTGTTTTTCTCTACATGAGCATAAACCATTCATTCATTCATGTTCCTTTAATTTAGTCTCAGATTAATCAGAGGTCACCACAGCAGAATGAACCGTCAACTATTCCAGCATATGTTTTACGCAGCGGATGCCCTTTCAACTGCAACCCAGTACTAAGAAAAACCCATATACTCACATACATTTATACACTATGGCCAGTTTAGTTAATCCAATTCACTTACAGTATAGTGCAATTTGGACTGTGGGGGAAACCGGAGCACCCGGAGGAAACCCACGTGAACACATGGTGAACATACAAACTGCACACAGAAATGCCAACTGGTCCACTAACCACTGAGCCATCATGCCGCCCCTCAGCATAACCAGTATTTTACAAATTTTTGGACTGATTATATAAATATTTATAAAAAATGTTGCACTTTTGCATTAGCAATCTTACCATGACCATTTAGAAAATATTTTTTTTAACCTGGTGTAAGCCTGTAAGATCCTAAAATAAATTTTAAAACCTGTTCAAACAAACAGAAAAGCAATCACACACATATTAT